AAATCAAAAAATCAGCCGGATGTGGTAGCACATGCTTGTAATTTCGGCTACTCGGAAGGCTGAGGTGGAAGGATCGCCGGAGTCCAGCAGGACGAGGCTGTGGTGGCCGGGAGCAGCCACTGCACTCCAGTCTGGGCGACAGAGTGAGACTCCAACTCAAAAAAAAAAGGCATTCTGCCTCAGCCTCTCTCCATTGAGGAGAGGACCCATTCCTGAGACCATCTGCCCCTGCCAACTCATGCAGAAGTGGGCAGGGAGGAAATGGTGGAGACTGTCAGACCTATGCTAGGCTCCTGCGTGGCCCAAGTCCAGATGGCAGGGGACCAGGCAGAGAACAGAGCCGGGACGCTGGAGCCGCCCAGTATGTATCTCCTGTACCCCAGAAGTGCTTGCTCACTGCAGAGGAAATTGTGACATCCTGGGACCAGGCTTCCTCCTGGCCCACAGTCACATCCGCTGCTCTTTCCAAGGTCTGCGAGCCTGCCTCCTCACACAGCCCACTGGCCAGCCACTTCCACCTGCCTGAGCTGGAACCCAGCCCCAGGGTAGCGGGAGACTCCAAAGGAGCGCTGGGAGAGGGACTGGGGCTTAGGGCGGAGAGTTAGGGTGGCACAGACTCTATTTCCTCCTCCTTCAGGGTGGGGGCCAGCACGGGATGGGGGTAGGGCAGATCCGGAGAAAAAGTGAAGTATGGAGCTCAGATCACCCCCAGGTCTCCAAGGGCTGCGGCCTCCGTACCCCACTCTGCCAGGGTCAGAGTCATCCCCACTCCAGATAGCTTTCGAGATAGCATAACCCAGCTGGCAGCAGCCAAGTTCTGGCACATCTGACAGAAATGCAGACTCAGAAAACATTTACCACGGCTGCCCAGAGAATCCGGTTTCCCCACAAAGGGTGGGGCTGGGCACTCCCAACCAAGCCCTGTCCCACACTGCAGGGTAAGCAAGGCCACCCCCGGAGGTCCCCGGCAGAGCAGTGCCAGTCCAGCCAGGGTGTAGAGGGCACCCCACATCATGTGGACTGCATGACACAGACACAGGTCCAGCCCACCACCCCCAACTCCCCACCAGGTGCGGTTCCACCTGTATGGAGGAGCCTAGCTCCCATTTTCTCTCTCCACCTGCTCACCGCCAATGCCCCACACTAGCAGGTTTCCAGAAGCTCCCATGGTCTTGCTAATGGCAGATGGATTCCCACAGCCCCTGGGTTGGCAGACTGTGGGCCAGGACAGGGAGAGAGCAGTAGCTGCAGCCCCAGAAGGAAACAGGCAGGGGCTCGACGCTAGGGCCAAGCCCGCACGGGGCCAGGAATGGGGACAGAGGGCAGGGAGGAGCCCCTGGACAAGGAGTCAGCCCCCTCCCCTCCAGAGAGAAAAGAGGGAGAACATTATGAGCCACTGGATATGACCGGGCAGTTTAGAAAACCTACAGGGAGGGGCTCAAGTCACCTGAACAGAGGAAATGAAAAAACCACAAGTGGCCCAGAAGCCACTTCCAGCCTGGCTTGGGCTCTGGAGCTGTGGGAGGGTGAGTCGAGTCACCTGGTGTCCTGGAGAGTGGGCCGTCAGGACAGAAGGGGGGCGGTGGACAGCCTGGGGCTGTGACTTCACGGCGGAATCACAGGATGACAGGGTGAAGGCCGGGGGCGAGGAAGCGGCTTTCTCTCCCTGGCTTCCCTGCCACAGAAACCGAAACTCGATCTTGCCTCCCTGCGGCCCTGCTGGGAACCTGGGCATTTTTTGAAAGCTGCAAAGAGGAAGTCGGGCCCTCACCCACTGTGCAATCCCCAGCCAGACCCTGGTTCTGCTGACCTCGGGGAGTTCTCCAGCCCCGAAGAGCCCGGAAGGATGGCTCATGAAAAAGCTGGCCTCTCACCCCATCTCCCTACACAGCCCCAAGCCGGGCCCCGCGTGGCCAGTGACTCACCCCTGCACACCTCCTTGCCCTGGCAAGAGGCAGTAGGGACAGGAGCAAAGGGCAGGAGAGTGGAAAGAAGGCTGGCCCAGGGTCTAGGGGCAGGATCTGGGGAGAGTTGTGAGAGACAAAAGTGGCGACAACGTGCCCTCGTTTGAAGCCCCCAGTCAGAAGAAGGGCATGGGGACAGGGACTCCGAGGGTGGGAAACGCAGCTGTGTCTCCCTCCAGGAGCCAAACTGGAGGCTGCTCTCCCTACATCCAGCACCCACTTTCCCAGTCGCCGGAGTGGGCATAGACACGAGCTTAACCCACTCTGCTTCAGCCTGGCAGCTGCCAATGGAGAGAAAAAATGAAACGGCCTGTGGGCTCCCACCCCCTACACATACACAGACGTCCCACAAACAGCAGGCCCTTGCCCAGAACGCCCTCTTCTTTCTCCTCCTCATCCCCCAGAGCTTGGCCCAAACTCAGTTCAGATCGAGAACTGGAGGGGCAGGTGCAGGGGCATGGCTACCCACTGCCCACTTTGGGCTCTTCCCCGTGAGACCCCAGGCTCTGGGCTACCCCTCCACCCAGTTAGAGTGGCTTTGGCGTCATAAGCCAACCACAGACACGGGAAGCGGGTGCTGGGCTCCAGGGAGCAGGGTGGGAGGGTGTGAGCCCGTGCGTCGTGTACGTTTGGTGGGAGGTGGGGTGGAGGATGCCACGTTCTTAGAGTGCTGCAGATCCTGGCAGCCCTCTGCACCCCGTGTCACCAGTGGGGCCACCAGAGATGTGAATGCCCCCTCCTCTGCTGGGGTCGCCAACCTAGGAAGCCAGCTGAGCTGGGGGTGCCCGAGCCCTACATCCCTGAAGCCCAGGAAGCAGCTACTGCTGGCAACATCCAGGGACAGGCACCATAGGGAATAGTTACGCCTCTCCAAATGGGCACAGTGCTAGGCCCCACCCACCACAGCGCCCTCCCAGAGGGCCCTCTGGATTCCAGAAACTGCTGGTGGGAGCAGGCAAGTGGCAGCGACTGAGCAGGCATGCAGGTGCCCTTTCATGTCCCAGGCAAGAAACAGCAGCTCCCAGAGCCTGGGGGTCAACTGCAGGTTTGGGGTAACAGAGGAAAGGGAGCAGGTATAGCGGGCAGGACCCCGGATGCTCTGCCCAGCAGCCTAGCCCCAGTTCTGCTGCTCCCTCAGCATCATGAAGGAGGAGGAGTCAGAAGTGACCCTGGGGGCCCAGAAGTCCCTGATCCATTCAGTCACACACCAGGACACGGGAAGCTGCTTGAGAGGGAGCATGCACCACCGAGTGTCACATCAGTGCAGGCTTGGTGCAAACTGCACTGAGGTGCAGACACTCATGAAGGTCTGCCTCTCCCCAGCTCCTGGGAGCTGGGTTTTCAAGGGTCCTCAGAAGCAGGGGAGGCCCAGCACACGCTCAGTGGTGGGGCAGGATCGGGGTCAGCCTGGAGTCAGGGAAAAGGGAGACCTGCTTCACTTCTGCTGGGGGTTCCTTGACACCAAGGTGTGACCGGGCCTTATGTTTCCAAATGTAACCATGCTGCATACATAGATGGGACTGTCCCAGGCTTGCAAGGCGAGAATCCACCCAGTTGCCATCCGTCTCCTTGTGGTCTGGCTCCAGACAGCAAAAATCCTGCTTGACTGGGAAATCAGGGTCATAGGCACAGCCCTAACTGCTGTGTGATCTTGGGCAAGCCACTTAATGTCTCTGAGCCTCAGTTTGTTTATGCATAAGATGCTAAGTAGCCTTGCAGGGCTCTAAGATTAGGTGGCTTTGTCACCATTCACTAAGGCTCACCCCAAGGGCATGCTCAGCGAAGGGACAAGGACTCACCCTATTTTAGAGAGGTAAACACCTTGCCCAGTGTCACTCAGCCAGAAGCAGGCCCCTGAGCTGGCCAAACGTGAACACCCAGAGCCCAGGGAGCTGACAGTGGCCCTGGGTCCCTCACGGTGACATACTCAGGAAGGGGTGCTGGGTGCCCTTACGTCTAGAGGTTTGCTCCTGTCTGCATGGAGTCCCTCGGCAGGGAGGGAACATGCCAGACAAACACTTTCCAGCTTGTAAACAGTTATTAAGGAGCTAATAAACCTGATTTCCCAGAACCTTGCCCTGGGGCTCACTGCTTCCCAGGGAAGAGGCTGGCCCCAGCACAAGTAGCTGACAGGGTTCAGGGCACCTGGACACCAGCCCACCCAGACTACTCATCTCAAGCAGGACTGCAAAGCCATATGTTCACTGCCCCCCAACCTCACTCTGGGGTTGCATGGGGTTCCTTGCCGAAGAATGAGGAAAGACAAGGGGACAAGGACAGGATTCACACCCGCCTGGGACCTACCTGCTGGGAGACTGGGCAAGCTGGCACTGCGAAGCCTGTTTCCTCTGCCATGAAATGGGGCAACGCCCCCACCACAGAGGGAGGCAGTGAAGACAAGAGGAGATCACAAACACAGTGTTTGGCTCATACCCAGTGCTCATCTGGAAGCTTCTTTTACTCCTGGCTGAGCTCTGCCACCATCACTCACTTGTATGTGATTTATTCACTTGGTCCCTATATTTGCGCCAAGAGCCCCAGAGGTGACAGACCTCTATTTGACAGGTGGGGAAACTGAGGCTTGGAGAGATTAAGTCACCTGTCTAACAGCACACAGTTAGGGAGTGGTGGGGCTGCCCCACCTCCCACCCCCCAATATCATCAGTGACACACACTGAAAGGGTGGGAAAACAGCCCGGGTTCTGTGGTCTTAACCCCCATACCCTGCAGCCTCCTGCACCAGGAACTAGTGAGGAACAGTGGCAAAAGAACAGGCCAGGGATGGGGACTCTGAGTGGTCTGGGTGCTGGGAGTGAGTTTTGGCCTTGACTCTTGAACCCCTCCCAGCCCCCCAAGCAGAAACAACAACATCTAACTGCTTGGGTGCACCACTCAGCTCACCCAAGGATGTTGATATTATCTGCTTTTTGTTTTGAGTTGGAGTCTCACTCTGTCGCCCAGACTGGAGTGCAGTGGCTGCTCCCGGTCACTGCAGCCTCGACCTGC